CCCCACGGATATCATATCAGCGTTTATAAATTCACAGATGAAATCAACTGTTTCAAACAGGGGAACATTTGTAAAGAGAGAAACAACATCCAAAGAGAACATCAGTCGGTTTTTATTATTCACATTGTTGGTTATTTCAACAAACTGAAAAGTATCTTTTAGTGTATGCTTGGCGACACGTTGACGTATGGGTTCCAAAATTGTAGTTNCACATTGTTGGTTATTTCAACAAACTGAAAAGTATCTTTTAGTGTATGCTTGGCGACACGTTGACGTATGGGTTCCAAAATTGTAGCCAATCAACGGGCGGTTGCGTGCTGAGGTGAATTCGTCATAGAGATAATGGGACGCATTGGTGTGCCAGGTTTGTGTATTTTGGGTAGACCATATAGGCGGGACACGTTAGAGCCAACGGGTTTGAGGTCTTCAAATAAACGGGATGATATGTAGCCTTGATCTCTGAGTCGTTTCAGTGTATCCGTAATTTGTTTTTCAGCTTTCCGCGTTTGATCCTTTTTAATTGCGTCACAGGTAAACTTTGTTTGATCGGATAGGAGTTGTCGCATTTTGGATACGTAATCAGCACGATCCATAATCACAATGCCAGTCCCTTTGTCAGGTTTGCTTAGCAGGATTTCAGGGTTCCGTTGTAGGTCTCTTAGGGCGTCAATGTGCTTTTACGTCAGAGGTCCTTTGTTACGAATTTGGTAACGTCGGTATTGATAGCAAACTGTAACTAGTGACGATTTGAAACGTGCTAGATCTTCCGAAGAAACTGGTATGAGATCAGTTGTCTGCCCGACTAAGTTTTCAAATGGTACTTCTAAATCAACCTGACGTTCCTTACGACGAGAACAACAAAATTTGGACCCATGTGATAGTGCTTCAATCAGAACACGGCTCAACTGAACACTGGACAGTTTTGCGAGATGTTTAATCCTTTAAATTATCTGTGAAGCTAACTGAAATTTGTACAATACCATGAAGATAAATTCAGTGAATGCAGAAGGAAGGACGAGTGCGCACAAAAGAAATCAAAAGCGGAACCTCTGTGTCCATTACTTTTGAGCACAAACAGCTGGTTACCTAATCCGATTAGCACTGTTTGAACTAATCTCAATTGTTTCGAACTGTGATGACGTTACAACAGTTTAAAAAATACGATTTAGTGTAATGTGTTTGTTGCTATCACATGTTTTACGACGCACAGCACAGATTAAGGAATCCTACTAAAACTGGTGCCAGAAGTTAATCACAAGTGGTCGTAAAACCCTATATCGCAAAATACCCTGCCTCTGTCCAGATTGAAGATCAAGGTCACCGAGTGACCGCAATGCAAAGCAATTGACCTATTTTTTCTTTC